GTGTACAAAAGTGGCAAAATGGGATTTTTACCAACATTATGCTCCATGTAATTTTGTTTTGTGCATGTTTACCTGAGTATTATAGAGTATCCCATAGACCCAAACCACTCCAGGATTTGTTAAAAAAAAAAGTTTTCTTTTGATTTTTCTGGTAGAAGTAGCCCAACTCAGTACAATGGCACACAAAAAACAAGATTTGCAAATTTTGGAGGAGGTCGAAAGTGAACCATCAGATTACTCATGCATGGATGATGAGGATGATCTTCATAATAGAATAGTTGTGACGATGATGATTGATAATGATGGTGATGATGATGACTCTCACACTGGCCATGTGAACCAAAGTTCCTGTGACAGCGAAATGGAACAAGAATCGACTGATGCAGACAAGGGCACGCAGACATCCCTGACTCAGATGATAAAGAAAACAGCAATGTGAGTACACATTTGATGAGGTGAAATGCTGCAAAATGGCCAGGCAACCGAATGGAATGATCCAATGTTAGAAGCAGGTCCCAAAATATAGTGAGGGTCTCAGCAGGGGTGAAACATATTGAACAGAATGCCAGCACTGCTACTCAGTGTTGGAATTTGCAACAGACAAAATGCTACAACATGCTGTGAAACACAAAGGCTGAAATGCAAGGAAAACATTCTGCATGCACCAACAGCCATCCTCAAAAATATATTCATTATGACACTTCACTAGTTGAATTAAAAGCATTCATAGGTCTGCTGTCCTTAACAGGGATTTCTCAGTGATCGCAGGAATGTTAAGAACTTATTAAAAAGTGATGGGTCAAAATATGGCATAAAAATTTATGTCTTTTAAGACTTATTATGCTTCCAACTTAGACATTTATCCTGTAACTCAGCCATCAGGCCCTTATTTGTATAATAATAAACCGAATGATGTTGTGAAAAACCTTATTACTCTTATCTCCCAAACTAATCAGAATGTGACATCTGACAATTGGTTTACCAGTTTCCAATTGATGTTACATTTGCTAACAGAGCACAAATTGCCTTCCAAATCAAATGTTACAATTTCAAAACAGAGAACTGTATAGTACAATCTTTGGATTTCAGAAAGATAACACTGGCCTATATGGCAAAGAAGAACAAACTGTTACTGCTTATGTCAATATTGCACCCTCATGGAAATACAGACAAGGAAACCTCAACAAAATGGAGGCCTGAGATGAAAACTTTCTTAACAAAACCAAAGGTGGAATAGATGTTGATGAGTTATGCAATGACGACGTCACTTTAAAAACAAAGCATTGGCCAATGGTTGTGTTTTACTTGACTCTAAATGTGTGGCATAAATAGTTTGATAGTTTACAAAGAAAATAACAAGTGCAAAATATCACAGAGAAATTTTCTTAGAGGACTGGAACTGGAACTCATAGGAGATCATTTATAGCAGAGGAAAACCAAAATATTTCTGCCAGGGAACTACACAAAAAAATTGTGGAGCACACTGGTGCACTGACAGGTGAACAGGCAGGCACGGTATCATGAATACCTACTACGACAACAGGAAAACCAAAAAGATGTCAGCTGTGCCTTACAAGACAGTACAGGAAAACAAAACATACATGCTATCAATGTAAGCGATATTTGTGTATGGAACATGCAGTTCACATGTGAAGACTGCACTGGGTGTGACAGTTGAAACAAAGCTTATTCCCATGGTAGATTTTTGTTTGTGTTTATAGTTCACATAGATTTTTATTTTTGATGTTATCCTTTAGGTTTTGTAAGCAAGGAAACAGATGATATGAAAATGTTGATGTCTATTCTCATCACTCATTATATATTTGATAGTGTATTTTATTGATAGCTTATTTCCCTGTTAAGTGTATGTTATTCAATATAGTAGGAAGCTCCTGACAAAAGAGGAAGAGACAAGAGCTAACAAGACTGCCACACAGTAAAGAAAGCTAAGCACATGTGCTGTCAGTGTAAGTGAAATGCATGCGTGGAACATGCAGTTGTCATGTGTGAAGACTGCCTTGGGTAGGACAGTTGAAGCAATGCTTATTTTTTTGTGGAGTTCCATTGGTATTTTCATTGTAGTTAATGTAGGAATTTATTTTTGATGCCGTCTTTTAGATTTTGTAAGCAAGTACACAGCTGATGTGAAACAGTTGATTTTTATTCTAAAAGTACAATATATATTAAGAATTTCATACTTTATTGATATTTCATGATCCTGTTAAATACACACTGTATAATATAACAAAAACCTCCTGATAAAACACCAAGACCACTGAGATGTCAAATAAGTCCTCCAAAAAGACCAGGAAAGCAGAACACATGTGCTGTCAGTGTAAGTGACATGTATTTATGGAATGTGCTACTGTCATGTGTGCGGGATGCCTTAGGTGTGATAACTGAAGTAAAGTGTACTTTTTTTGTAAAGTGCAATTGGTATTTCAATTGTCGCTCATATAAGAATTTGTGATGTTCTTTTTGTAGACTTAGTATCCAAAAAACAGCTGATGTTGAAAATTTTAATGCTTTTTTATCAACAATAAATATTAAAAAATCAATACATTTTTGTGATTTTTTTTCCTGTTAAGTACTCATTGTTTAATGCAACAAAACTCAAAGTATTAAAATGAATAATTCATCCATAGAAATATTCTAAAGAATAAATATGGGCCTGAAAGACCCATGTTTATGTACTTTGATGACAAAATTAGTCTTCTGCCCCAAGTTAAGTATGAATGACATTCTGCACCACCACAAGCAGCATTCACAAAGAACAAGGGAAATGTAGGGATAGAAGCATTCAATCCGCCATCATACAATGTGGCTCTTTTGCCAATGCCAGCTGTGGAGCTCTTATGTCTAATTCTTATGTTTTTTTAAAGAGGTCATGGCGTAACTACCTAACAAAAAGCTGTGAGTGTTAGTAGATGAAGGTAGAGAAAGGTGATCATTTCAGAACTTTCAGGACACTTTTTGGCAAATATGAGATTGTATGACAAGGAACATAAAGAGTTCAGAGTGCTCAAGGGTTCCTGCAGTAGTAATTTTGCCAACCCAGCACTACAGAGAAAACACCAGCCTTGACAGAGGTCCTCAGTAGATCTATGAATTTTCTTACAATGTCTCCTTGACATTTTATGTTCTCAAAGCATATTTTATGCTAATTCTTATTACAAGATTAGTTACTACTGTAGAGAGACAAACAAAGATGTCTTATTTTCAGCCATGAAAATTTGGTAAGTCTAAAACTGGGCAGTCTCCACTTGTAAAAAGAAAAAAAATTGAGATATTACCTTTTCCATATTTAAAGTTAGCAAATCTTTGGATTAAAAAACACACTAAAACTTCCAATTGAAAAGAAAATTATATATAAAATTGGGGAAATGTCAATGTTCAGAAGGAAATGTCAATATCCATACTTGCATCGTAGCATAATTTTAAAAAGTAAAGTTTATATGTTTCCCAAAAAATAACTGTAGAAACTGGCACCAGTACCATGAAAAGAAATCAAGAATGGTATCAAAGAATTATCCTTCTAATAATGTTCTCAGCCCTAACAAATTTGCTAGTGAAGTCAAGCTCAAGTATTTGAAATTACATATTCTATTCAAGACACAAAAAAGAAGAAGCTGTTTGATATATTTAATACAGCAAATATAACCTTAAGATTAGAAACCAATCAGAGAAATTAATTTAACAAATTTCTTTATGTATCAAAGACCATTTAAGCAAAGTAAAATTTCCAGGTAATTGAATTCTAAAAGTTATTTGGTAAAATACATGTAGGAAAGTCCTTTCTAATTTTTATATTATGTGACAACAAAAGATCCTCTAATGTATTCTTAAGATAAAATACATTATAAAGGAAAGTGGTTAAAAAGTATTATGTTACAGTACTAGCACATAAAGTGATTTAGCTATTACCAACAAATTCACTTAAAAAACACATAAATATACAGAGATAAATAACTTGACTCTCTTTAAATAAAAAACACTTTGCCCCCAAATAAACCACCTTATTTAAAAATAACCAGAGGGGCTAACAGCCACCAATAATATGACTACACAGGGTTCAATTTACAACACGCAGATAACACAGATGTCACTTTTAAGAATTTTTGAAAATTTAACCATTTTGAACTTTATCAGTGGGAAAGAAGTGAAGTTATTCCAGCTACCCAATAAGTTCCTTTAATTTAGTTAAATTTAAGGAATATGTAGCAGAAGTCTTGAGGCAAATAGATGTAATAACTGCTTAAAAATTTGATTTAAATAATCAAATTTCTGCTTTTTAATAATATTTTTTCAAGCCTTTAAAAAGTCTTTGACGAACATTAAATTTTTGTGACTAAAGAAAAAAAAGAACATCTAATTTATGCCTAACTTATGCTCCTAAAGTTTAACTGTACATTTTTTCTCTCATTTTTAAACTTTGAGATACTTGGACAAAGCAATACAGTTCACAGAATATCCATAACCACAAGAACATGCAGAAGGAATAACATATTTTTATCTGCAGTGTGGGGGGATATAAGAAAATTCTCACTTAACCCAAAGGTAGTATAGATTACAGACAAAAAGCCAATTTTAGAAAACCATTTACCTGAAATTTGAGGTCTTAAAAATATGAGAAAAACTGAGTAAAGACAGAAAAATATATAAGGAAAATATAAAGAAAAGATTACTTCAAAGCTTCATTTGCATAAAATTTAGCTATGTATAGTATAAATTGAACCCTGCTTTATTTGAAAATTAAGCAAATATTAAAATTAAGAGAATTCATAGTGCAAGTCAGAGAAAGAACTGTAAACCCAATTTAACCGATTTTAAGTAATTATTGGCCCAATAAATTTAGAAGAGACACAGCCCAAGAGATTATTGTTTAGCAAAAATAAAAAATTAATACATACAAAATGCAATGCTTTGGATCATTTTCTGGTGTTGGGTTAGCATTGCATATAGCAAGGATTAGAAACAAAATAGAAATTTCTATTTCCTACCTATATCACTGGCTACCATCTTGGAAAAGTTTCTGCTTTTGGTCTTCACTGAAAATAATATTTTGATATAAAATGTCAAAATCTATTCAAAGTAAAGCAAATAAATTAAACATAAAGAAAATACTTTAAAATTAAGATACTATACCCTTTTCTATAAAATTATTCATTTTTTGTTCATCATCTGAATTGAGTGGAGATGAAGAACCTACACAATGAAGACAATGGAAGGAACAGAACGGTCAGTCACAAACACGTACACGGAGCACAGCCTCTGGGTACCCCTAAGCAAGTTCCCGTGCTGCGGCCCCCGTGGGAAGGACACTAACGTGGTTCACACCAATTCTGAAAACCTTACAGCACAGCAATCAGTAGTGCAGCATCTTTCATGACAGACTTTAGGACATATATTAACTCTAATTTTTCCTTAATAATTTCATAAAAATCTTCACGTAAAAGCTACAGAATATATAAAAATAACACTTTAAAGGTATATCTAATTTACTGAATTTTTCACAATTTCCCCAGCTTCAAATCACTTGCCCTTCTCTGAATTCCCGTAACACTGTATCACGTGCTTCTCATGTTAATAATTTAGTTTTTTGAGTTTACACACACCTGACTTTAATGGACAGGAACATCTACAATGTAGGGCCCATATCTGATTATTTTTTGTGTCTTATTATCAATGGAGTGCTTTTTATGTAGGTGTCTACAGTAGGTATTGGTTGAATGAACGACATGATTAAAAGTAAACCAATATTTTCTTTTGCATACTTAAAAGCAATCTTGTAAAATTCTGAATCCTAATGAATTAAAAATCAAAACTTGCCACCCATATTTCTCTCTGGTCAAATACCGCACTTCTCTCCTTTGGCCAGGTGGCAAATATTCTTAATGTTCTCTGACCAAGTAAAACCTGTCAACACTGGCAGAAGCAAATTACTTTTTAAAAAAGTTTTTTGACGAAGGGTCTCACTACATAGTGCAGGCTGGCCTTGAACTCACAGTGATCCTCCTACCTCAGACTCCCGAGTGAGTGCTGCGCTTACAGGTTTGCACCACCATGTCCAGCCTAATTACTTTTGTAGTGGTTTTAAAAGATTACACTCTAAAAGTTTATGTTATTTTTGCTAACTAGTATTAATAGAGTCTTATATACCCCTTATCAAACAATACCACATGCTGTGGTACAATCCTGCATGCCTATAATCCCAACTCCTGGGGCAGGATCCAAGTATAAGGCAGGAGGATTACAAAGTCAAGCCCAGCCTGGGCAATCTGGCAAGATCCTGTCTCAAAAATAGAATTGGCTAAGGCGACAGCTCAGTGATACAATGCCAAAAAAACAAAATTCAAGTAAGTAACATTAAGCACAGTAAAATTTTCAGAAACAGAAGCATGTATACTTGTTTAACATCTACATATAATTCAGATTTAAAGAATATAATGGTCATATGCTGCCTGTATTTTAAGATGTTACTGTCATCTGATACCAGACAGACACATGAATGTACAAAAAGGTATTAATACTAGTTTTGACAGATCTCATATTAGTTTAGCAGGATGCTATATATGATAATAACATTTATAAAAATCATGTTTTCAAAATAAGAATAGGTAACATAGGCTGTAAATAAAACAAAAACATTTACTTTTCTGTTAACTGAAAATATTTACTACTGATTGTCATAAGTTCTGTAAACAAGAGCTTATGAAAAGCTTCTAGAGTGGTTTTTAGTATATTCTACTTGAATAAATTTTACTAAATCACTGTAATTAAACAAACACAAGTGATATCTATGCTCACTGCTTTTCCTAGAACACACAGCAAATTGTCAAGGCATCATTTACATCATAGTATGTGTAGCCTATAATTGAAAATAACCTAATAGATTTTTATCGCATTAACATAATATATACTTTTTTCCAAAAATTTTCCATCATTAATGTACTCAGTTAAACAATCTGAAACAATCTGAGTTCTCCGAAATAAAGACCAGAGACCACTGTTTCATTTGTTCATGGTATATAAGTTTGGTGGGTAGAATTAATTTCTTTTCCAAACAGACCACTTGTTTATTTAAAGGGAAAACTATATTTATTGCTTGTATTTTCTCATACATGTTTTCTGAGGATAGCTTTGATACTGATTAGCTAAACATGAAATCACAAATCTTGATTATGGGATTTTAAAACTTTTCAAAAAAGTTAATCCATTTCACGAATTAATTTTCAGTAAGCACACTGATTTTAACAAAAGGTATATGACTTTGTACATGAATATAATATAGTATTGGTCTTCCTCTTAGTATTTACGAAGGTGTGAATTTGACTTCCAACCCACTTTTACACATTTCTCCCTTCCCCATAAATACCAACTGTATTGGTTTTAAAATGTATAATATATCACTTAGCTATTTTATCCATTTCTGAAAAATATTTAAAGCTAACAACTTAGATACTAATTTCAAGTTTTTAGACAGGGTCTTTTTCTTTTTTTTTTTTTTTTTTTGGTTTTGATCTTTTTCTTGTA